GTTAAGCAGACACTGGAAAAAGGTTGCAAGTGGTGTTGCTATGGTGGGAGCAAGGGTTTTTAGTACTTTTGGGCAGATCATGTCGATTCCAGGGGCACTGTACTCCCGGAGAGACTGTAGTTTGCTTGCAACAGCTGCTGGAGTAAAGGTGACGCTGGATAAGCCAACGACATTGGTTGGGAGTTGATAGGGCGAAGGTTCCATGACATTTGTAGCTACCGAGCCAAACTGCAAGAGTAGAGCGTTCGCGGCATCCACAGCAGTAGTTGTTAGGCCACTGGCCGTCCTGAGTGGTGGTATTCCGGGCTTAACCTTTCTTTTGCCATTCACAAATCTGTATAGCAGTTTGGTGTTACTCGTAAATTTCAGCACCATATTCTCCTGCCATTCGTACTTATCGACTCTAATGAGTGACGTGCAGTAGTTTCTGATGACTTTGTAATCCTGCCACGTGATATCACATGGGCTTAGCAAATGTTGCCTCCAGATTTCATCTCTTCTGTTGATCCATTTACGTGTTCTGCTCCGGATCCACGTATTGGTCCGGCGCGATGTTCGTAATGGTACAACCTTCGATGCTGATTGTATGACCCAGTTAATTTTGTCTTTCAATTCATTCCACGCGTCATTCGCTGAGCTGTGCGTCTGTAGGTCCCAGTCAACGGTTGCTGCTAAGCTGCGCAGCTTATAATAGTCCGTAATAGTGCGTTGAGTCTCTCTTTCTTTAGCAACCATACTGGCATAACATACATAACCAAATGTTAGGACTGAATGGTCGCTACGGCCCAGTGGAGGATCGTATGCTACTGACTCAACCATCAACTCTTCATTAGTCAGGATTAAGTCCAGGAGTGATGGCTTGTTTGAACCGCGATGTCTGGTTGGTCGATGCACATGGTTATACAAAACTGCCATATCCATGAATTCGAGGAGTTTCGATTTAAATGATGGCCCATTAGGGGACATTGATGCTATTGAAGGAACATTAAAGTCACCCATTATAAGATAGTGAGAGTACTTTTGTGAAACAGCATAGCGGAGGGCGTTTAACAGAATGTTATCGCTGTCTGCTGATGAGTTCGGAGGTCTATAAATAACTGCTAAGAGGCAAGCATCACTCTTCTTCTGTGAACCAACATCTCGACCTGCTAGGTGCAGTCGGCAAAATAGTGCGTCGGGAATAACAAGGGAATTTTCGGTAAGCGCCTCACATTTCAAATAATCTCGGTAGTAGAGAGCAACACCGCCACCGCGAGATGGACGATCATTTCGAATGACTGACATCTCACTGAGTTCAATCTCTGGATCAAGTATGTCGTTTGAGAGCCAAGTTTCAGTGACTGCTATGAGGTCCCAAGTTGTTGTTTCATGTCGGTGGCGCAGCTCCGAGAGCTTAGAGTACAACCCCTGAGTGTTGGTGTAGCAGCATTGTATTTGTTGACGCATCAAGAGCTCGGTTCGCTGTGAGTGACCGGCACAAATAGTGCCGGTCTGCTGAAGTTTTTTGAAACGGTTGTTTGCACAGTTGGCTGGTTTGAGATAGGTACAATTGAGGCTGGCTCATCTGTATCTGAGGTCTGTACTAATTAAAGGAATGGTCTTAACCGTACTTCTGGTGGCCCAAGTTTCCTGTTATCATGCCATGCTTGGATTGCCACTGATACCATTTCGGGCGCAGCCAAGGTAACTTTCAAAATTCGTGGCCCGCTATCTTGGTAGTTTGTGGAAGCAATTAGACGGGTGACGTCAAAAGCCACGACATTCTTCATGTCGTATAGTTCTGCGATGTATCGCCATTCTTCGATGTCGTGCTTCTGTCGTTCACTGCTATCGTCATGCTTCAATTCTGGCACACCATGAACCAGTACCACTTTCTTCATCTCATTTTGACGTGACGAACTAGGGTTGGATTTATGCTTCTGTCTTTCTGCCCATGGCCTGTCAGGAAAAATGCGGGCACTGACAGAAGAGTTCACTAGCATGTGGCTTGCTAAGAGAACATCTTCCAGATCACGCGTGTTGCCAAACGTTACTCGCAGTAACCGAGGTTCCCCTAAGTGTGGAGATGATGGATTTCGTGAAAGGCGTGTAAGACCAGTTGGGAGAACTTTCAGTCCGAGTGCGCAGGTTATTTCAGCCCACCGGTTTTGCTCCTCGGCTTGTCTACCTTTTAGCGATTCGCTAGTGGGTTCTGGGACGTTTGAACATATTACTGTCATCGCCTTTTGGTTGCGTAGTAATTGTTTGTTCTGCAGTTCCTTGTGAGCGTAGGTTTGTCGAGTGGGGGTGTCTGGCTTGTCTTCCGTGGACAATACGCCAAGGCTAGAGCGAGAATTTTTACGTGCAACGCCGTTAGTTGCGCTATCTGCAGGGGTCAATTGTTGTTGACCAGCTACTGACGGAGGTGAGCATGCAATTTGTGCGTAACTCTGCATGCTTTGGCGCATTACGTGAGACTTGGGGTACCGTTCAAGCGGCCTGTTTTCACTGCTGTTTTTCACTAACGGTGTTTGCCTTTCGCTGGACTGGGTCGCACTTTTGCTAGAGAGCTTTTGCCTTTTAACCGGTCGGGGATTCGGGCTACGTAATGCACTAATCTGCAACTCGAGTTCTGAGATTTTCCCTCCCAATGCCGCGATCAGTTCCTTTTGGTCTGCAGACGTAACAGTCAATGCTTCACACCTTATCGTAAGTTTTTGAACAATCTTAATTATCGGACTATTTGAACATATGTCACAAAACCACAGGCTATCTGTCGATACGCTGTTAGCTTCGTTAAGTGTAATGTTCACATTTGTCGCGTCATATGAATTGGCACAGAACGAACACGTGATTTTCGAACGGATTTCAGTTCCCCGCTTGTCTGAGCTACGGTTGACCTTAGCTTTGTTGCTCACTGGATTCCCGGTTGACAAACTCCTCCGGCCCATGGATCAATGGTCGGTATGCACTTTTAGGTTGCGCTGGTCAGTATCTACAGCGGTATGAAACAAGATTGTCGGCTGTCATTTTTCCTCTCTAATTTCGCCATTGACGAAGTCATGGCTTTTGTGAAACGATGCACATACAATGCCAAAAGAAGACATTGTATGCCCGGAAATAATGACACTAATACAAATTCCTAACCGAACAAGGATAAACGGTTAACGGACCAGACACAACTGCTGATGATTCACAACTAAATGTTTTTGATTTTTCGTAATTCGATAGAGTTGTACAGAAACCTTTCTACTTGCTCTTAAATACAGTCTCAGTTTCATGGAAACAGCGTTCTCTGGACACGACCTACAAGGTGTGAAGCTGCTTCCTGGTGAGTGACTTCTTGACTCGGGGGGTGCGGATGATATTGCTTCATCTGTGACAGCTCCCAAACGTGCTAAGCAGTGCTGGACCGATTAGCACAGGCTGTCAGTTGTTTTGGGCTATGTTTTGTTCCATCAAAATACAGAGTCCTTCTCCAAGATTGACATGGGTCTACCTCTCCACTGACTCTTGGTGGTGATCTGCTAGAAATTCTTCAGGAATCCAAGTAGCTGGGCAACTATGTTAGCGCCCGTAGGATGGAAATATGTATGTATTTAACAACTGCCTAATAAACTCTTGGCAGAGTGCCACAACACATGAGTAACAATAACAAAGAGGAGTCAGAGGAAGGGTGCTAAGTCCCACGTGTTGTGTGGGCAGAGACCTTCCCGGTTGCCCATGCCGAGGAAGAGGGTTGGCTTAACGCGCCCCACCCCGAGCCTTTGGAAGATGAGGTTACGAACCGTATAGCGAAAGCTCGTGGTGCTTTTGCCAATCCCCGCCACCTGTGGCGCCGGTGTGACATCACCCTCCCTCTGAAGGTGAAAGTTTCCAATGCATCCGTCTATTTAGTCCTCCTGTACGGATGCGAAACCTGGCCCATCAGCTCGACAGATATAGAGAGACTAGTTATGTTCGACCATCGCAGCTTAGCTCATGTCTGGTGGGAACACCGATGATCGTGGTCGGCTTCGTGTATCTTGTTCAGGAGGAGCTAGTGAACTGCTGAGCACCATTATATCACGCACCAGACTCCGATGGCTGGGCCACGTGTTGCGCGTGCTAGCACACCGATCCCCGCATCCTGCTTTGTTTGCGCGCCCGGGATTTGGATGGAAGAGGTGGTCAAGTGATGACTAGGTCGAGGAATAAAGTCCCTCATTTCTAACTTGACGTCAGTTTGTGCATCTCGACTGCCGAGCTGATGTGCGAAGGACGATGAACACATTTGTTGGATACCGTAGTTGATATGGTGAAGATTCGATCTCAGTGGCGTTTGTGTTGTTAGCCTCTTTGTCCCTCCCCTCCCCTTTAACTTCCTCCTCCAACAACGATTTCAACCCAATGCATAATGTGATTTTAGCGTTATGTTACTTTTTAGCTTTTGTACTCTGTAATGTTTCATCCCGTATCTTTTTTGTATTGCGGCACATTTGCTGAGGTGTGTTTTTCTCACCCTTCGCTAACGGGTATTGGTGATGATGATGACGGTGTCATGTTTTTACATCATCGCAACTTGCTCGACCACTCCACTACTTAGTGGCACAGTGTATCATGTCAACGCTGTAGGTCAGCGGCTCTTCGACACTCGACCCTTACTATGCACTGCTGATATGTCAATCTTGCAACTCTAACGGTTCTTCGGAGGCTATCTCGGCTAACCTTTTGTCTATTCTCTCTCATCTTGTCATCCTACCAGTGGCCGAGTTGTTGAGACGTGTGGATTTTAGTACACTGTACTCATCGGTTCAAGTGGTATCATCCCAAACCCACGTTAGACTGTTAGTGCTAGCGTGACAGCGAAACGTTACGATGTGCCAGTGTTTTACTGATGCCTTTCTTTTCGTTTTATCACGTCGCCACTAATTTCTGCCGTTCTGGTGATGTGAATCTTCACAGTTAGATGCTCTTTTCCCTCTTATGCTGTTCACGTTCTATGTCGAGCTTCTTACCTCATTTTATCGTTTTCCTATCAGCCGACTACCGTTAAAGAGGAGGCCAGCGCGGATGAGGGATCACATCGCTTACCTCGAGCACCCCTGAAAACCCCCGATTCCTCGACTGGCGGACCTGTCACCTTATCCACTTCATCCACTGTATTCTCACCATCTCCCCAATCGAACAAGAAATCCCGTGTAAACTAAACACCCATTGGGTGCTGTTCCCAAAATGTTTTCTCCTTGCGTAATGACCGCTGATCAATCATGCATCACTATGAAATCATTGTTTGCACCGCTTTCTTGTTTCCCGAATAATTATCGTGTTATTTGAGCCTCCATCTCACGTGATGCTTTGGCTACCGTGCAAGTTCGTTTCTTGCGCATACCGATCACAAGCCTTTTACTGCCCATAAGCAACAGTTTTTTTCCCGTCTTGGTAATGTCAGTCCTCAGCTCACCGAGTCACAGTGATGGTGGTCTTGTAGCCTCAACGACTAGGCAAACTGGGCGCTGTTCTTTTCACCTGAGGTTGTGCTTTGAATAGCTCCCCGCTGTTTTGTCTATATACCTTGGCCCCCTCTCCCTTATAGACAGGTACTCGAATAAATCGTTTGACGTAGGAGCACCACATGTGCTCTTATTATGGCCAATGCTTACAGACATTATTTTGCTTGCCCAATAAACAGCGTTTTCGCAAACGATTTCTAGAGGTCATATGTCACAGCTGAATAGTGGTATCCGTCCAACATGGAGTTTTTACCGGATTATTTTTGATGATGCGAAGATTAGCTCACTAAATGGAAGGAGTCGCCTCAGAGTCTATCACTAGGAGTACAGTGATTTAATGCCATATGAATCAGTTAAGCGGAGGAGCGCCGTGCTCCGAATACGACCCAGCCTTTTTCCAGAGCGCAGGCGTTCCTATGAAGTTATGTACTCTCTAATTGCTTGGGAACATCGTCTATTTTATTAGTCATAGGTCTATTTAATGCTGGGACATTGCTTGGGCCAATATTCTTTCAATACTAACTTGTTTATTTTTTAAACGAAGCCTCATAGGTTGTTTTTGGATCGGACTATTGGTCTGCTTGTTATTCATGCTTCACATACATCATTCGCTCGTTACACTACTAGTATTCATGACTGCCGCGAACATAGCTTCTTTCAAGATTATAATATCTTCTGATTTGATTACGCTGGAAACCTCCCCTCAGCATAACCTGTATCCGAAACATTAATTGCATCCAGATTAACATAATGAAAACACTCTTCAGTGCGAACATAGGTTTTCAATTAAGACTGTTTAGACTTCTGGCTAGCACGGTTTGTTGAAGTATTTCCTTTTTCTGATTTCCTCTTTCCAGTGAAGTCCGATAAGTTCGGATCAGTGCTGCTTTGAAGTTGGTATCCGCCGTGATTAGACAGCTATTCGCCTGCAAGACAGGGTAGAATGAAGACAGAACAAAGTCGCTTGGGATGTACTATTCCATTGCAGCAGTGGCAACTACCACTTTGTACATCGACCAGAAAGAAAGTTTTTGAATAACGTTCAAAATAGTCTTCCAGACAACACTGCGAATGTGACACGAAAGTGATAAAATTGTACGCATAGGTTCAAGCACGGATTACTTCGAGATCACGAAAACGCGGTTAGATGGTGGTCCGCGGACAATAGATCTGCAGGTAAGGAGTACTAAGATGAGCTTGTGAAGGCGAATTAAATGGTGGTAAGTAGGTCCCTGTTTCTATTAAATCCAGAGGTACATCTGCGAGTAAAGCACGAGGGCAGAATTGTTACGACTGCTGGGAACCGAAACATGGCTGAATGATCACTGACCATTGTCTAGCTCCTACGAAAAGCGCTGACACTCCTTAGGATGAATTTGATCATGGGTCACTTCTTTTCGCAGTGTTTTCCGTAACCTATTCCGAGTGGGACATCGGAGAAGCCCAGGTTATCTCACATTCCAGCTGACTTGAGTAATACAGTTGTTTGGGCATTCCCATTCTGATATGTTCTGGAGGGAAATCACCAACCGGTTCTGCAAACTATGGACAGACACTAGTAGGTAAACTCTTATTGTCAAGTAAGATGCTCCAAAACCCCCCAATCATGGGGCTTTTTTATTGAATGACGTGGAAATGTATGACCATGAAAGATTCAGTTTGTTAATGCGATGTCTCCAAAGTCATACTTGAGACGCTTTGCGTCTAACTGTTCCGCGTGGGTAAGTCAAAGCACACCAGGATCTAGCGAAGAAATTTTTCAACCCCACACTGTTTTACAATCAGTTCATTAGACGCGTTAATCCTTATTAATCACACCATCCGAACAAGCGTAAACTTCACTAATAGTTGTCAATGCTCTTCGGCAACAGTTCACCCCTTAACTTACATTTATGTATCACACACCACTATCGGGTATGAAGCACATCTTTTACTTCTGCGGATGTTCTACAATACGATTTGGGCATAAACACAACTTTCCTTGTCCAGACGACAGATGTAGCGGGAATCACTGGTAAGAATGTTGCCGAAACATTGACTGTCTTTCCAGCAGTGCGACATCGATTTCCAGGTTCCTCTAAGTGAAAGCGCGAAGTCTTAATAATCATTTGCATAGGCGCAGTTGTAGTGAACCCCGGTTGCTTACCCTCTTTCTGACACTTTCCATTCCGGGATCATTTATGTGTTAGTGCGGTTTTGCATAATTTGAACGGAGCAGCAGAGATTCTGTTGTAATCGGTCTTGAACCAAGAACCTGATGGTTACTCAGTTTTGGGAGGACCTGTTGATGCTGAGACGGGGGTTGGCGTTGTATGTTTGAAATTCCCATAAACGGTTAACAATCTGAATTATCGCACAATTCAGTCAGAATATGGACATCAGCGATCCTGTATGGGGATAGATGAGCACCGTTCTCATGTGGGGGTCAATAAATCTCCGTGGATCCCGAGTGTAGAATACCTATCACCACTGTGGATACGATGACGCGGGAATGATCATTCCATCTGTCTCGGTTTTCGTTTGAGCTATGCAGACAACGGGTGATCAGCTGACACTGAAGCGACCTTGACTGACCTTACGTGCAGTCGGCGTCAATGCGACTGAGTACATTCATTACACTTCAGGTCGTTTACTTGTGCTGGCCTGAAGGGCGCAGCTTGTAGCTCGCTTCCATAGAACCAATCTTGACTGTTTCTAATAGACCGAATAAACGGCAGTAAAGCCATTCCAAACTTCGGCTGCCGGGAAGATTCGATCTTTTGAGCTTTCCCAACTGGGAGCAGCCAAACCTGCACGGAGTTTGCATTACCTTCCATCGGATAAGAGGTCAAAGGTGTTAACATCAATCTGCGGTGTGAAACCTGTTGGCTTGGCACTTGCATACCGGGTGCGTGCTACCGCATTCTTAAACTTCACCACAACCTATTCAGGGAGGCTGAAGTTTACGGCGCTGCGTAGATGCCTTGCTTGTCACTGAACATTCTTCCACCTACATTCATGTCTGCGCGAAATCTCTGTGTTCGAGGAGCGATTGTATGTGGCGTTAGTACCGTGGTATTGTCATGGTGAAATTGCATACTTTGTGGATAGATGCGAACGACGCTTCTCTTGCTCCGTTATCGCCTACAGGATCCATGGCTGCGGCACATGCGACTAATACGTTTCTTATGTGTATCGATTAAAGACTCCGTGAAAACTTTTTATCCTAGCAACCGATTTCCAGCATCAAACCGCATATTACTTTTCATATCCTACCTGAATGACCAATGGGACGTGTCAAACGATTGCTTTATGAAGCTTGTTAAGCCAATACTGTGTAGCCACAACTGCATGAGTTGGTGACCGGTAGATAGCCCACACAAAAATTGCACATAGCAATTGGCCCGCAAACAAATGCCCAATAATAATGATAATAATAAATAATAATGTTTCAGCTGTACGCCGTAACGGCGCTTCGCTGCCGCGCGACCACCACCAGTCGCGCGCGGGCTGAGTATACCGCGAGGACGCCCACCCCTACGCGCATTCGAACCGGTGACCCTATGGTTGCAAAGCAAACGTACAGACCACCGGCCGACACACGGAAAGCTGACCTCTCACTCTCCATATTTCAGCGTTTTGACAGCTTCGTAACAATGTACGCGTAGGCTTTTATGTTGTGCGCACTTTTCGTGTGGACATTCATCATGGAACCGCATAAGGCAAACACTACAGTCGTTATCCTCTAATGAGCAAACTGTCCGTAGTCTCTGCTCTTCTCGAACCTGTCGTCACAGGTATTCTGGATTTCCCCCGTAGGAACCAAAATCATTGCTTTCATCGGCATAAGTAACGACGTTGTTTTATCAACTCACTCTAGAAAGTGCGCAGGAGAACACCATACTTGAGGTCAGGTACAAGAAGGTATACTCAGTCACACTACTCGGTGCGCGAAACCAAATTGTGTATCCCGCTGAACCCCACAAGCTTTTTGAACTTTGCGAGAATTTTTTGCTTGGAAATGGCCACGTGTTACAGGGTGTCTGGGATGGCTGTGTAGTTACTTCACTAGACTGCGGTCAATATTATAGTTGATAAATTTGCTGCAATGTTCGCATGAGCCGGTTGCGGAACTAGACAGGCTCTCATTTAATCCATTTTTCGGGGCAAGATCGTAGATACCGCGATTTTACGATGCCATATCGGTTATACTAAATAACTGTGACATGAAACGACGTTGGAGACAATGCTTCCTTTACTTAGTTCCTCACAGATGATCATTATCATTTTACACGTTAGATAAAGGTGCGAAACACATTAGCCATTGTGCCGCAATACAATTCGAGCAGATGGCAGTAAAAAATTAATATTACGTTTTGCACCATATCGTTTATGAGAATGTGGTTGAAGGGAGAAACTAAGCGGAATGGGAAGGAATAAAGAAGCTGATAACCCAAACGCAGCTTATGCCGGTGTTTCTCCATGTTAACAAGTAGGTCCAACCATGTATGCTATCATACATCCTTTTCAGTCGCAAAACCGAAACTCTGATATTTTGTATGTTTCATACGTGCAATCTCAACGGATCGTGATTTATAATATACCTATAGCGCGTCCATCGAGCGCTATTTATCAGATACCGCGAACTCACTGCTTTTGCAGTTTAGCTCGGTGGCTATAAATACCATAGAACCCTTGCTCTTTCAACTCCCAACAAATGTCGTCGGGTTATCCAGTGTCAGCTTTACCCCAGAGGTTGTCGTGAACAAATTACATTCTCTCTGGGAAAACAGTGCCTCGGTAATCGACAAACTCTGGCCTAAGGTTCTTAAAACCCTCACCATAACTGTACATCATG